ATTTTTATGATTAGCCATTTAGTTTCCCTGAATTTACCAGAGCAAGCATCACGACAGCAAAAATTACTGCAAATGGTTGAACCTAACAGCCAGAGAAAACCCCCAAAGGGTCATTTAGGCCTCAGCTGCAGCTGTGCTTCGCTATATTCAAACTGGATAGCTGAGATTAGCAGGAAAATCAGGTTCTGCCATGCCGTGCAGATGTGCCTACAACTGTCTTAATTTATTCAGCAAACATTTGATCAGGGCCCACTATATGCCAAACAGTGCACTGGCCACTGAGATTATAGGGATAAACTGTACCTGGCACACTCTAGGAACTTTTAGTTGAAAAAAGTTGATGGGAAAGGCAGATATGAATCAAAGCATTAAGAAAGTTGGAAGGCATACACACTGCAGCATAAAGGAGGAATTAGGATGTCTTTATGGCATTAGCTTCATAGGACAGTCTGATGTATGTGGATATTCATCTTGGAACACTGTGGCAGGTGGGGGCCTATGAATGAGGAGTACAGAGACACGGAACTTTCCTCAGGTTTAGTAGAAACTGGTCCCCACTGCAGAACATAAGAAGAGGAGAAAGTTTAACAAAGGAGAGGTTTAAGTCAGAATAGCTGTAAAAGATTCATGAATAGAGATCCAAGAAATTGTACCTATGAGACAAAATCTCAGCAGACATCTTGTTACAAGATAGACTTGGTGAGACTTCAGGTAGCCTGTCACTGCTGCAGAACTGGTACCAACATCAGTAACAACAGTCAGCTCTTTTGACCACCTACTATGTGCTGGGCCTTCATGTTAAATGCTTTCCAAGTATTATATAACTTAATCTGGTGACAATCTTGTCATGGTAAAGAATTATTTTATCATTTTTTTCCACTCTACAAATGAAGAAATCAGAGATTTGACATAGAAGTTCACTTGCAAAATCTCAGAGCCAAAATTGGAACCCAGATCTAAAAGACCACAAAACCAAGATTCTTTCATACATTCCACTTCACCACTAAATTTAATGGATAGTTTCTGTTCCTTCTGTAAAATTTATATTGATACTGAGGGCCCTCATGAGTGTTCCAGGCTCTTATATGCCCCCATGCTCCTGCTTCCACCAACCTAATGTTGTGCAGCCTGTCGGGTAATTACTATTGTCGTTGTTATTTAATAAAATGTTAATGCTCCAATGCATGTGAGTGTAAGGAAATATGAGACTCACATATAATGTAGTAGTTTGGGAAGATTGAAGAGACTGGTTGCTCAACAGAATTGGGTGTGAGATCTTGAAAGCAATAAGGACACCATAAAAATATGGAGAAATTTATACTCTTCTCTTGCAAGAGTAATTTTCATTAACTTTAAAGATACCAATTATGTATTCTGGTGTGGTTTTTATAAGAAAGAATGAATAAAACATGAATCAGCAGACTCCTAAGCCCAATAGAAGACTTGTCCCTGTATTTAAATAATAGGCAAATAAATGGACACTTCTGTGGTTTAAAATAAATAAAATGATATGTATTGGATTTTCAATGATTCCTCTTTTAAGAGTGCAGTCACTACCCACTGCTGCTCCCCGTCCTTTCAAACAAGACTTTTTGCACCAGCCCAGAGGGAGCATATACTATTAGAGAAACTAAGACAGGAACTTCAGATGCTAGTAGACACCTGTGCAAATCTTCAAAATGAACTGAATGGTAACAGTCGGCCTTGTGGAAAGTGGATCTCAACACAACAGGATCCAACAGAAAACTTTGGGTTTGGGGAACTGTGAAAGGAGTCTGTTCTTGGTGGGTTTTGTTTCTGTAGTTTGACAGTGGCAGAGAATAGAAGAAAAAGCATGGGTTTGGGACCGAACTAGAAAATAGTTTCAGTAGCTTAACCAAAGTCTCTGAGTCTGTTTCCTCAAATTAAGATAGTGTAAGACTCATGTAGTTATTGACTATATACTGCTGGATACACAGTAAGTTGCTAAATGAGTATTTTTCATTCCCCCCTCTTTTTATGGGACCATTAAAAAGTAAAAGATATTAATGAGTAAGATAAACAGAACATGAGAAAGACTGCTTACCCTTTGTCTGTTTTTATCTAGAACTTTCACTACCACATTCCAAATGGATTGTAGAGTCAGATAAAGATTTTTAATTTGGCCAGTAGAAGAAAGAGCTGGCTACCAAGGAAATGCTTGGGGGTAGCAAGTTTCTATGGATGGTATTCAAGGGGGAAGGGATTATATGGTATTGTTCATCTTTCTATACAAAATGACAAATTCAACCTAACTTTGAGGTTTATAGTATTTCACTAACATTTTTTCAAGGTCATTTATTTTACTTACAGATTAACCATAAAAATACTTAGCATTTTCAGTACAGATAAAAGAATCAGAACTTTTAATTCTTAATCTACTAAGTATAACTTTCTTGTTCCAGATGTTCATGCAGTTCTGCAGTAGGTGTATTCTCTATTGTAAAGCCTACTCAAGGTGGGAATGACATGGTCAGCAAGAGAGAATGACATCACAGCATTTGTAACACCCACCTGCTCATAGCCTATAATTAATAAGACTTAAGGTGATAAAGTGTCTCAAGACACTGATTGGAAAGAGAAAATAGTAAATGGAAGGATGAAAAAAATAAGAATTTCAGGATAATTTGGGCTTCTAAAAGAGAGGAAACTGGTAAAGTCAAAAATAAAAGAAGCTAGAGTTCTTAGCAAGTTATATGTGTAATGATAATTGTATGTAGAGCAAAGACAAGAACTACATTGAGCGGTAAGAACTGCCTGTGTTTTATATTTCCTAGTTCTGATTCAAAATGTGTGGCAGAATGCTACCTGAAACAGAAGCCGCTTGAAACCAGCCAGCTCCATTGTTCGACTACATGCCACTGTTCAAGCCCAACATACTTGGAACTGTATTTATAATTAGTCCAGGAACATCCAACCTTGTGACTACAATCTATAGAGTTCATACTTGGTAACCCTGTAACCAAATTATCAAAAGAAAAAAAATGTTTTAAGTTTTGGTCACATTCATAACTGTCCTCAGTCACATACAGCCCCATGTGGCCTGTGGGCCACAGGCAGGACATGCTTAGCTGACATTTTAGACTAATATCTACAGAATCCTAGATTTCCAGGTGCTGAAGAACTATATAGGTTCAAAACAAAGAGGTCACCAATACCAACCTCTTTTGTAGTCAAAATTTCTTTGATTTTACTTGAAAGACAGGGACAGAGAGAGGTTCCAACTTTTCTGTAGCCAGTCTGGAAGTCACTGCTCTTTACTCTGTTTATTTCTGCACATACATGCCATCAAAGTTAAGGTCTTCATGTTAGTAGCCTTTGGTGAGGAAATGGAGTCTGAAGGATGCGGAGGCAGTACCTGAGGTTGTGTGTTTAGCAGGGTCAGTGGCCTGCAGGTTTCTTCATAGATACCGTCTACTTCACAACTAGAGAAATATAGAGCACTCCAAGAGAGATCAAAGCACAGCCACAAAGACAGTTACAGAGGAAGAGAGTTACGCTGTTGATAAAATGAAAATTATTTTATTTGAAAAAGAGAAGTCTAATTGAATGACAGTCACGTTGAGGTTAATGACCAAATTTACCTTCACATCAAGCGTAGGTAAGGGGAGAAGGCATGTTCCACTGAGCAGGGAGAATGTAGCATGGAACAGAAGGAACAGCAGCAATCAGATGTCCAGCCCATTTAATTAAAGGAATTGCTCATTCACTGGGCTGCTTGTGAAGGTTTGTTTGAAGGCAATCTGAATTCCTATCTGTGTTTTGTGGATTTTGAAGTCCTACTACCTAAAAGAGCAGGAATGAATTACATGAACTTTGTCTTTTTACCCCACAGAATCAGTGATTTATCCTTAAATTACATAAGGTGAAGATGTTGGGCAATTATTTTGAGTTATAGTCTCATAGCCCGATGCTGCCAGGAAGAGCGACTTTCCAATAGTGTTAAGGAAGTCAGCCCTGAAGACACATTTATTTCAGAGGTCATGAACTCAGGTGCCTACTGGGTCCTGCTGGTGATGGAAGGGAGCAGAGCATGCAGCAGAACCATGCAGGTTGGAGAAATCGTGCTATACTAGAAAGTGAATTTAAATTAGCCACCTTGGCAAGCTTTGACTGCTGTGTCATGGTGTGCACAGATCTTTGACTTTCTGGGAAAAATCTTGAAACCTTTGTGAATTTCTTTCACATTGACAAAATAGTTTCATTAAGGGTATATTCAGTTATAACATGACACATTTAGTCTTTGAGTTAGAAGCCCTAAGTTTATCCCTTAGCCTACCAGTTTACCACCTCTATAATTAACAAACAAAACAGAAATGATTGAACTCTAGAGCTTAGGAGAATTAATTTGCTAAACTTTTGGAAGACTTAATTAAGGCTTTTCCAACTCTATGATCTTTGACCTCTGCTTCCTTCCTCCTTACTCTCAATATCGAGTGGCTTATTTACACAGGAAGTAAAAATTTAAAGAAATTACTTGTTTCCTGGGCTGCTGAGATGGCTCAGCAGGTATAGGCGCCTGACATCAAGCCTGAAGACCAAAATTCAATCCCTGGGACCCACATGGTGGTAGGAAAGAACCAACTCCCAGAAGTTGTCCTCTGACCTCCACATATGTGCCTGGCACAGTGTGCTTGAACACACACATATAAATAAATAAATGTAATAAAAAAGAAATTGCTTATTCTCCTTTAGCAACATGACCTTACTTAGTAAAACCATCAGAGTAAGAAAACAGCTCTTGTTTCTGTAGTGAAGATGCTGTTACTGCTGTCCACTATTAAAATGCACATGTACATACAGTCTACACTTATTTTGGATCTTTGAGCTAACATTTGTCTATAACCTTGGCTGCATGAGGCATGTCTTATTTAAAAGTTAACACTCTCACTGCTTGGTGACCCTCCCTTATAAAATATTTTTATTAGCCACCTCCAGGTAGGGCAAAGACAGCTGTGTTTCTGAAACCCCCTTCCTTTCAGACTGGAGAATATGCTACCGATGAAGAAGAGGATGACGTTGGGCCTGTCCTTCCCGGCAGTGACGTGGCCATTGAAGTCTTTGAACTCCCTGAGAATGAGGACATGTTTTCTCCATCAGACCTGGACACAAGCAAGCTCAGTCACAAATTCAAAGAGGTAAGCACTGATATACACAGTATTTACCTACACTTGCTCACTTTGTTGTTAAATACATGCTTCTATTTGCAGAATGAATCAAGGACCATCTATTTTCTATTGAAAGATTTTTTTATACCATTTTTTAATTTTATTTTAATTTTTTTACAATTAAAGTTACAGTTTTAACAATATACAAAATATTACAGTAATTCAGATTTTTTGGCATAATGATTACAGATTTGATAAATACATTTTATGTCTCATAATAGCGATGAGGATTATACAAAAGCTATTAAAACAATTATGAGAATAAATTCTATCGT